CTCCTGTGTTTTTCTGGATGTGCTGGGCATTAGTATGCAGCGTGCATACTGCTGGTGCAAGGGAATACGGCGGCGGTGCCACATGTCCGAGTGAGTGTTGATGCAGAGCCCATAAATTACACTTGAGCGTTCGCTCCTCTACTCCCGGTCTGGCTCTTGGGCTTGATTCTAGTTGGGGGTTTGTTTTTCCCCTTTTTGGGAAATGAAAAAAAATTACCGAAATATCTTTATTAATAGCACGCTCGTGTGGCTCTAGTGAGGTTTCAAGTATGCGTTTCTTTGAGATGTGTAAGGAGAAGGGTGGAAATACAGTATCTCTTCCGACTTCGGCTGGGCAACTGACTTTAATGGCAGTAGCACATCAGTCTATGTAGCGGTAGTGGTGTCCTTATAGTCCTTTAAAACCACAAATGCATTTCTGAATGGAATAATGAAAGACAGTAGGGTGACCGAGTTGGTGAAAATCATGGCAAAAATGATGAGATCTGCAATTGATTGTTTCTCTTTTCCTCGTCTCCTGTTTTGTTTCTGGAATTCTATTGTTCTTGATGTTTTCAGCTTTTTTATGGTTGGGTAAGTGGGGAAAGGTGTAGATTGTGCTATTCATATTGTCATTGATTTACAGTTTGCTTTTCTAAAACTGTTCTAGTAACAGCCGGATTGCAACCTTGAGAATGAGAGAATGAAAATATACAGCAGTGTTACAAAGGAGACTGGGATTCATTAGACTCTTTCACTCTCAAGCCCTGATTCTGCGAATACTTAAGCACATACAGTTTCACATGCCTGAGTTACCCACTGAGTTCCATGTGATTACCACTTAATATCAAAACTGTTTACAGTATCAGGGCTGCAGAATAGGCTCCCCAAATCTGGTTGACATTAGACTCTTTTTAGTTTTCTGTCTATAAAGAAAAGTTTATTCGGCCATTTCTGTTTCTTGGGAGAACATTCTTACTGAGATAAAGCACTGTTTAAAAAGACTCTGGCACTCATCCTGTAAAAACCTAGACAGAGATTTGTCAGTGAATATGAAAATGCTCCATGGTGTATTTACAGCATGTTCAGTATGGCACAAATTACATGCAAAGTCATAATCTCTTAATGTGTAAACAAAACTACAAGTTGCAGTTCTTCTAACTAACACTGAAAATGTCTATCTTGTGTATGTAAGAAGTAAAAAAGAATACGGGACTTATCTCTTCTCCTTTTCCTAAAAGTAAATGTCTGAAATACATTTTATCTGTTATTTAATAAGGGAATAGTTATCAGATATGTATTTATATCTCTAGATCCATTACATATATTATGTCCCATTCAATAGAATTGTATTTTTTACTGGAAAATTAGTCTCAGACGATTACATAATTTTTTACACTCTGAGTGCAACGTTCCAAAATGCTCAGTACACCTTTTAATGCATCTGTGTGGTAGGTACCAAAAGTGACTTTCTAGAAAGTTTATTTTGGCTGCATGAAAATGACCCTTATTCACTCTTTTTTGGAGGTATGTTAGGACTAACATTCTGTTTCCTTTCATGTATAAATTAAATCATTATAAAATCCACAGGGAAAATATAAATTCGTAGGGCTAAATTAAATCATTGGCCTCACACAGCGAGAACTGCAAATACAAAAGCTTTGTACCTCTCCAGATGTAGGACTCAGTTCTGTGAATGTAGTCATATGAATGGCTTCACCCGTGTAATTTATTCATGTAGAAATTGGTGGAAGTTGTCACTGGAATTCTAGTATTTATATGCTTATGTCTTTGAAGAATGATGTTTCAGAGAGGGAATTCATACATAACTCTATAAAGTTTTAATTTATGCTACTGTAAACCAGCATTTGCATATGATCCTCAGTGTTCTACTTGATCAGAGATATACTAATATCTGTGCTGCTAGTTGTTGAATTTATTAAAAGAAACCTGGATATTTGTAATATTTTGCTATCATTTGTTAACATTGTTTATGTGGTAAGAATACAGGACCTGGAACAGGAGTGTATTTTATGCAGTTGTGAGGAATGGTGTTCACAGTACAATCTCCTACTGAATTTATGATAAATGTATAGGAATGCTGGAGAAGAAGCTAATGGCAAGTGCAAAGTTCATCAAGATGATGATTGATAGTGATGGAATTTAAAGGAGATTTGTCATCATTCTTTATGTAAAACTTTATGATGTGATTATTTAGTACCTACAGTTAATGCAGTGGCAGTGCTTCATAGCACACTAAGTATATGCTAAAAGTATATTCTAAATCAAGGCAAAAAGGACTTTTTTTTTCTTCTTTTTAAAGAGTAATCCTTAGTTACTCTGATAGTAGGTTATACTGCAATATGCTCTGCTCAAGTATGAGTTTATTTTGAGAACATGATCGTGACTTCATGCCCTAGTCCTTGAAATTCAGACTTAAAATTTGATAGGTGTTGATTTGGGATGTCCACGTATCTTCCTTAATGTATAATGAAAAATGAAGTTGAATTTCAACAGTGACAAAGGAACTTATTATAGCAGAGGCAGAACTGGATTCTTACTTGAGGTAGGACTGGTAAATTCCTTGAAACCTCAAAAAAGAAGCGGGGGTGGAAGGAAGTGCTGGGAGTGAAAATTTGTCAGGCCTCCTTTGATCAGGAGTATTTCAAATAACTGTTGGATGTTTCAGTCTGTACACAGTAGGTCTACTTCTTCCCTGTAAGAAGAGATTTTGTGTTACTTTACTGAATAGTCCTAAAGCTGGTTTAGCTCTGCTGGGAATACTTGTCTAACGTAGAGCGGTGTAATGTCATATGTTATGCTTCTTTGCATAATACTATTGATAATTCACAGTTATCTTCAGGTTGCCTTTGGTAATAAAGACAAACCCGTGTGTTCAACTGTATACTTGCATCTTGATAAAGTTTGACTTGTATTCCAAATATGAGTTTTAAAAAAATAACAGTAGAATTCTTAGGTTGGATTGCTCACTTCTTGCAGTTCTGTACTGTTAGTGTGTGTGTGTGTGTGTGTATATATATATATTTAAAGAGTAAATAAGCTATTATCTTAACGGACCTGGGAAAAAACTAATTACTAGCATCATTACATTAAGAAACTGTGCATTATTTTAACATGCGTTGCTTTCCCAAAATCACCCAAAAGTGATTTTCATACTTCATCTCAGGGTTTTATTTGCATTCCCATATGAGTGAAATCAACTTGAGCCCCATGAATAAGGAATTTTTGTTGCTGTTGTTGCTTTTTGTTTGTCTGTGGTCTAACTAGAGTTTTAAAAATGAAAATCGTGATTTATACAACTTTGAGAGCTTGTCCCACTGTTATGAGAGGTGAAGAAGAATCCCAGGTGAAGTACAGGTATCTCATTGTATCGCTCAGAGTCAAGTCTGATTGAGTGATCAGTAAAATGAACATTTTTTACTTCTTTGTGCCAGAGCAGCTGTGCTCAATTATTCTGTGAGGTTTCTGCAGAGTAGGACAGATTCACTTAGAACCCCTCTAATTTTTGGCTGGTGTCTTTTTATTCACATTTAGTGAAATTTAGGTCTGACAAACTGGAGATCAGTCTAAACAACATGGCAGGTTCTCAGTAGTTTTATTCATGGATCTACTACTGTTTGCTTTTTCCTTCATAGTGTATCATAATGTACTGTTGTATATTGATATAATGAGTTTGATAAATGCCATGTCTGTGTACCTTAAATAGGAGGTGAATCTTAGGCGTGGTTTTAAGCAGTTCTTTTGAAAGTTTTATGCATTATGCAAACAAGAAATACTTCTAACAGGTGAAGTGGAGATGTTAAGAACCAAGGAACAGATAAAAGAAAATGTTTATTCCAACTGCAATGAGCATGAATTGGCCATTGAAGTGGTAATAAAGTAAGATAGATGTATATGACTTATGTTGCCTTTTACCTCCAGATGTTTGCTCCTTAAGGACTTGCAATGTAAGGCACCAGAATTAATGCAAGTTCAGTATTTGTAACAGATATGTCTTGCTATGACAGAGGCAAACTTAAATACAGTCTGTAAGAAAACTAATGCAGTTTTGCCCTGATTTGAAATTTTGTAGGTGGTGACAGTGGATTGGATGGGTTAGGAGGACCAGGAGTACAACTTGGAAGCCCTGATAAGAAAAAGCGCAAAGCAAATACACAGGTAAATTCCCTTTGGTTCTTTTGATTTCTAATAAATAGTGCACTCGGATGTTGTTTGCTGGTATGGCTATCTTGCATTGTTTAGAATATCAGTCTGTTCTCACAAATAGCAGCTACATACAAAAGCATTTCAGTTGTACTGTGAAGCTGAAATCTTCATAACACTAGTTATTATCACTGAAGTTATTTTAATCTCTGTAGTTTGCCGAAGACCTATAAAGAGAGGAGCACAGTGAGACTGCAACAACTTGTATTTTACCATATGGATTTAATTCTGAGACAGACTTTCTTTTAATGACTTTGTAGCCATAAGTAGAAATCTGTACAGCATGAGTAGTTGCCATGAGACTACTTTTCTTCATACTTTTATTCCTATATGTGTCAGTTTGTGAGGCTAATGGATCAGTACGGTTTGTTAAATGCTTTGACCAAACTCTTGGCATATTCCACAAGTGATTTTCAAGCAAAAGCTGTGAGGCAGGTTCGGCTCCTTTCCAGTGAATCCCTGTAATTTGGCATTTCTATACAGTTTCTGTTTCCAGAAAAGGAAGCCTGAATACAAAACATCTAAAGCAATTAGATATCTGTAGTGCAGAATTTTCCTTTGTGTGTTCATTCAGCTTTGAATGAGAGTATCTGTTAATTTGGTACTGCCCAGGGAGAGTAATTTTATTTATGTAGGTCAAACAATCACTTTCTGTTAGGCCTATCCAGATTCCATTGAGATGTGGATCTGTTCTTTTAGGTTTGGTTTTGTTTTGTTTTGTTTTAAAGTAGTCATGGTGAGAAATACTCAGTTAATTTAAGGGTTTCAGACCTCTTTCTGGGTGGAACTTTGCTTGTGTTCTGGAATGGTGATAACTGTAGAGGGCATGCAGATTAGTTTCCTCGCTTTTCCTACCAGGTTCAAAATGTGCAGCACAGCAGATTTTTTTGGGGAAAAAAAAATGTTCATTCTTAGTTTATTAGTATTTAGGAGGAAACGCTTTCTGTGAACACAGCTAGTGTGAGGGTGAGCCAGCTAGATGTTCCCCACAGGCTAGTCTAAAATTGAATTTCATTCTGTAGCCACTCTGATGACATTTAAACAGCCTCTGGGCTCCATTAAACACTTGGTTATACTCTGTCACCAGAAATCCTTGTGTTTTATACCTATTGACTATGCTTTGCGGACTGTCCACAATCACTGAATGCTCATAAGGGACACCTCTGTTCGGTACACAGAATATAGAGAATTCCTGTATGCAGACTCCTGTATTCTATATACATTTTTTTAGGGTTATAGCAACATTAGGTTTGTATATCGTCATAGAATTGGGTGTCTTAAGAGATGTATACTCTATCCCAAAATGCAACTAAAGAAATGCTTCAAATCTGCTCTTCAACATTTGGAAATATTTTATGCATGTGTTTAAGTGACACATGGCTTTCTGTATTGTTGCTTTCCTTATGTAAAAGATTAAGAAGCTGCATATCAAGCAGTATTTTCAGAAGCATGGTTGTGCAACTGCACAGTCTTTAAAACATTGAGATTACTATAAATCACCATGTTGTCTGGTGCCCAGACTCCTCTCTTGCCTCCGTACTGAAATTTCAGACAGCCTGGCAGAGTACAGTGGGTGAGCTTTACACAACAGCTGAATAGATCTTCTAGCTGTAGTGCTGTTAATTCAGGACCTTTGAGGTTGGCCTGTCTTGCAGGGAAATACTAAAACTAATTTAAATGTTGTATTTAAAATATTTTTAGGGATCATCATTTCCTCCTCCATCTGAATATGCTCCACCGCCGAATCCAAGCTCTGACCACCTTGTAGCTGCAAATCCATTTGATGACAACTATAATACTGTGTCTTATAAACCACTTCCTTCAGGAAATCCATATTTTAGTAATCCTGGTTATCCTGGCTTTGGAGGCTATAACACTTTCAGAATGCCACCTCACATGCTGCCCAGAGTGTCCTCACCTTATGGTGGTTCTTACTCCCTCAGAAACCAACCACATCCCCTTCCTCAAAACCCTGTGGGAATGGGTTTTAGCCGACCCCACTCTTTCAGCTTCGGTCCACATGATAACCCAGGTTTTGGGAATCAACCACCTTACAGTAGTGGTCAGATAAATCAAAATGTCAATATGCCTGGTCAGCATTTCAGACCAAATCCTGGTGAGAACTTTGGCCATTCTGGTCAGATACCTCACCCTGATGTGCCATCTAACTTTGGTCCTGGAAATAATCCAAATTTCCCAAATTCTCAGCTAGAGTCAAACCATTCTTTTGTTCCTCCACCAAACACATACAACCAGACAAAATCATCTGCACAAAAGCAAGACTTTAGTCAAGGTGCAAGCAAAGCGTCCAGCCAGAGCACAGCTGCTCATCAGCATCATCACAGGACAGAGGACATTGTGAGTCAAGGTAACAGTGACCTAAAAAATGTTAATCGAAACAATGTGGTAAATCAGGATAACAGCCATTCTAATAGTGCTGATAACACTAATGCTGGTCATTCAAATGGGACTCAGAGTAAGTCCCGCCAGCCTCGAGGTACTGCTGAAGGATGCAATTCTGAAAAGAGCAGCAAAACAGCCCTTCATCCCGGTCGTCATGGTCACTCGTCCTCTGAACCCGTCTATCCATGTGGAATTTGTACACATGAAGTTAATGATGACCAGGATGCCATTCTGTGTGAAGCCTCTTGTCAAAAATGGTTTCATCGGATCTGTACAGGCATGACTGAGTCAGCTTATGGCCTTCTTACAGCAGAAGCATCAGCAGTATGGGGCTGTGATACTTGCATGGCTGACAAAGATGTCCAGTTAATGCGTACAAGAGAGACTGCAGGACCGCCTGCGTTGAATACGGATGGCTAACAACACGAATTGGTGGTAGTGGTTGAAAAACTTGCTATGAAGATTTGGTTACAAATTGGGTACTTCACTTTCTGCAGACAATCAGTTGCGTTTGATTGCTGTTGTCTTTTTTCCCTAATCTGTCTTCATTCATAAACTTCCATCTCAGCTTTTGTACTCTTCATTTTATGTGTGCAAATGTTTTACAGGATGGAATATTTTTTTGTTTCTGATTAAACTGTAAAACATAACTGACAACTGATCACAAGTAGGATGTGCGTTGACAATTTTATGAAAGGCAAAAACGTGCCTGAATGAATAGCCCCTAATTTGCTAGTGTTAATGTGTTAACTAACACTAGCATTTAGTGCTTGAGTTTAATGGTACTATATTTGCAAGTACTCATTACATTTTATTTTTTGGGGGTGAATGTCCATTACTTATATTCTTGCTATTTTTTTCTTTGCATGTAGTGGAGATGACATGGAGGAATGTGCAGTACTAATAGTTTTTATTTTAGGGTAAATACAGAGAATTTCATGTGTGCTTTTTCCTATTTTGAAATAAAGCATTAACACACTAGTTTAAAATCGATGACTTCATGCTTAGCAACACAATGAAACTGCTAACTCTTACACATTTATATTTCCTTGAGAAGGCAAGGATCGCTTGACTTCTCAGCAAATACTTACTTGCTGAAGATTCTAGCTAGGTCTTGCAGGATTTGGAAATAGTTAGAAAAGATGATTACATTGGAAAAAGAACACATCAAGTTTATGAAGTCCAGTGCTTTAAATCTAGAGAATACCAAAACTAGGGTTGCATATGTAACCATAATTAATTTACCTTAAGCACATATATTATGGAACAGTCTCTGCATCTGTCATGGTTGTGCAACCACGCAGCTCTCTCTCATCCTTATGCATTGGTGGTTCTAGTCTGCCGCCTCAGTGCTGCCTGAGAATTGTGAATGAACTAGTGCAGGGAAAGTCCTGCCCATCTTCTGGGGCTTTCAGCTAGAGCCTGCTTGGTCATCCTGAGCTTACACAGTCCACTTGGCATGAAGGAGGGTGCAAGGCAACAGAGTGTGCTCAGCACAGGCTCCGAATTGCAAGATAATTTGGCCAGCAAAGTCTTGAAACTGAATTCCCACTGCTGCCTCAGCCAGTCGTGCAGTGAGGGGGTGGGAAATCTAGGGTGAAGAAAAATACAGCGTTCACATCAGGTATGTTTAGCTCACACCAGGAGCAAGTAATTGGAAGGTTAGCTTCTTTGCTCAACTTGATATCCTACTGACAAGTATGAATGGCACTATAGCTTCATATGTGATGCTAAGAATTCTATTTTAATATGGGTAATTTGATCTTGTTCTTGATCTCAAAAATACCCCCCCCCTTTTTTTTTATGTGCAGAAGCATCTAACCTTGAAGACTTCAGCCTTAGCAACGTGGTAAAGTTGCATATGCAACTGGAAGTGAGCATTTCTGTAGAGAGAAGTGTTGTTTTAACTTAACAAAAAGGTGGCCCTGTAATAACAGACTCTGCTTGCAATACTCACCACTGTACTGGAAACTTAGTTTTTAAACAATCACCAATTAAATCATATGTCAGGCATTACAGGTACGAGTCACGTTCCTTAATGTGATAAACTGTTCAGGTCTGTGGTGATAAGTGATGTAGGAGCCTCTATAGACTACAGTCATCTTTATAAAGAGGTAGCTTTTATGATAAGCCATGCTAATGAGTGAAAAGTAAGGCCTGTTTGCTAGTTCACCATTGTGTTTGGTTTTAAATGCGCTCTACTGTGGTACTTTACTGGAAGATGCTGTGCAGATCTACATAACTGTCCTTGTTTCATTTTAAAAGTGAAAAGTTTTATATACTCTTTTACTGGAGAAGTGGAGTATTGCCCTCCTTTTTTGTCCTGCCTCTCATCAGGGAAAAGGAAATAATGTCTAAAGTGTAAATGACACAATTCTTTATCTTGAGGATTTCCTGTATGGAGATGTAAAGAAAGTATAAGGCAGATCCAGGGCTTCTTTTTTCATCACTATTTGCTTTATTTAGTACAGAGTCTTAACTTAAGTCTTGTTTTTTTAGAGGTGTGATATTTAAAAGCAAACAACAAAAAAACCAACCAAGCAACAACCTCAGTTAAGAGATTTATTCTTCAGTAGTTTTCCTAATGACTGACTGACTGTTACAATTTGCTTTTGGTATCTAAAGTAGAAATTAAACCAAACCTTGTTTAGATAGATTTGTTCCTCTGGGAATCAATTTAATCTCTGCAACAATGTGCACTGTGAAGGTGGTGGAGCTGGTTCAGACTTACAGCAATGTCAATGAAATAAAAAGTTTTGCTCAGTGAAAATTCAACAAAAGCTCCAGTGATGATATTGTTACCCAAGCGTGCTGCTCACAAAACCTTTCCCACTCCCACACCCCGTTCCTGTTGTGAGAAGATGTTTGGGGCGTTTGTTCTCACAAGTTCAATTAATGTTTTAATCTTTTGGAACGCATACTGTGTTTAAAATAGCCATGAATTTCTTAATCTCTTCCTCAACCCTACATGAAGTTAGGCAAGTGTCTTCTGTATTAGCTACCAAGACATTAGAATGTACATACAGTGTTCTTACAAACTTAAAAACAACTGGAGTATAATTTTATGAGGCCTTAAATTGTGTATTTCTGAAACTTATTTTAACAATTTATTTCAGGTTTTCTAAACTGGTACTATGGTGGGTTTGTAACCCAGTAAATTTTCTGTGTTCATTAACCTACAAATTCAAGGCATTAGCAAATGCCAATTATATCAAATAAAAACAAATGAACAACAAAACCAAACTTGTTATAACACGGATCATAGAGATATGACTGATTAGGATCTCTGAAAGTCATCTAGCCAATATGCTTGCCCTGCTGATACGCTCTTGGCATACCTGGACTCTTTATCTAGAGAGAGGGCTATACTTTGTTTTTCTCTGCATGTATTGACTAGTAGTAGTTCAAGTATGTACAGGGAAAACAACAATCATGTTTTGCTAGTAAGGTACTAGGAAAATGTCAGCTGGTTAGAATTAGAAATTAGTTATAGAAGGGTGGGTGGGAGGGAGGGTTGATTAGAATAGGTGAGGTTTTTTGTAATACTCTACATGAAACAATTTGTATTGAACTATCATGTGCTTCTTTCATTACTAGTGATTTAGATTGTACTGGTGCTGCACACCAAAAATATCGCAAAGATTTTGTAAATCTTACAAACCTTAACATTTTTATGTCCTTTTAAAATAGCTCCTTGTCATGGTCAGAAATACAGCCTATATTGCCCAAAATGTCTTTTTTTTTTTTTTTTTTTCCTAGGCTAAAATAAATAGGCATAAACTGGATTGAACTGCTCTTAATACTTACGGTTTTGGTTTTGGTTTTTTTTTTTTTCCAGAGACCAGTTTTAAATGAGAAAATATGCAATTTGTTCTTTAAAATGCTTGTTTCATTGGTGTCAGTAAGTTACAGTGCTGCAAACAGGCTAGTGGGTAGGTATCAAAAATCCTGTTTCTGGCTGTTTTGCTGATCCCTTCTACAACTCGAGACAAGCAGCTTAACTGTTTGTGCCTCCACCTTGTTTTTCAGAAGGTCGGACTAATGCTTACTTCCTGAGGGTGTTTAGAGGCCTAGTTATTATTTGACATCTTCGGATGAAAGAGACTAGAGAAAAGTAATAAAGTTTCCTCTGTTTAAAACAAAAATATAACTTTGGGGGCTGCTCAAAGGAGATCATGCTTTATGACCTGAAGTTTTTCATCTAAGAACCAGTTTTGTAATCACGTTTTTCAGGCTTAACTTCGAGCATGTCAGAATTAATGAAGTCAGTGGAACTGCATGCACGCAGTCAAGAAAGTTTACAAGTGTTTGCAGTTCGGGGCCTATGATAGTTGCAAGTGAAATGCTTTTCATGGTTTGAGATTTTTACAAAATCAATGGTGTTCAAATGTGGCACCTTTTTAACATTTGTCTTTATTCCTACTTAATACAATAACACATCTACATTAAATATATCCCTTTCATTCTATAAATAAACATTGCCTGGCAGTAAAAGTATTGGTGTAACATTTTTAAAAAAGGAAGTCATGCTTCTTATCATGTTGTATGTGACTTAAATGACTGTTTCATATTAAAACTAATCTTTCCTTATGTACTGCTTAAATATACCTGTTTTGGGATATCAGTTCAGTACTTTTTATACAATCTTGAATGTGTTCCACATTGGTGACATGTATTTTTGCAACAACTTTTTTGTTTCGATTTTAAATTAGAGCATGTTTGAAGTAATACATGCATTAGTGCTGTGGTGTGTGGCAAAGTTAATGTATGTAATTCAAATTGGAAAAAAGTTTCCAGACTTTGTCCAACATTAACCCTGTGGCCAGGGATGAAATTACTATGTAATACAAATTATCTCCTATCACCATGTGTTTTAAGCTACTCTATGAAGTATGTGAAACATTATTGTTTATGGATTGGTAGCTGGCGTGGTATCTTGCATAGAATGAGGTATGATAGATGGTAGCAATTCATGGTAATTAAAACTGATTACCTTTCAGAACATGCAGCGCTTATGTGCATTGTCATCTTGTTGCCATAGCTGTTAGTATGAATTTCTTAATATTATCTACCGACAAATGGGTGAACATTTGGTAATAAGCTCATGAGTGTGAAAATTCTATTCTAACACTCTACTTGGTTTATGCAACATGATTTTTTTTATCTATGGGATGTGATTAGGTATATGCAGGGGGATGTAGAACTGGATGTATTTTAAAGTTATTCTGCAATTACTGAGTTTTGTGTGAAGCTTTCTATATTAGAATAGGCTTTTCCTTAAAATTGGAAAATTAAGTGTACTTAGCAGGACTCTTAAGGCAATATAGCTATCCTAGACTACATCTTAAGCACATTCACATCTTTGTATGCAACTCTTGATTTCTTGTTGGCTTATGCTTTATATGGAAATAAAGGGTCCCTTTAGTGCCCTAGTGTTGTGTGTCATCAGTTCTGAGGTAATTAATTCTGAATGGTGTTCAGGCCCTTTGAAGAGCTGCCTATAGCTTAAAGTATTAAATGTTGCCCTTAGTTTCCTGGTTCAGAAATGGCTTATTCCAACATCATAGGAAATACCCGTTTTTGTATTGTTTGCCATACATGATTGATTTTCCTTTTCGAGTTCAAACAAACTGTCTCAAAATAATTTTTGATCCAACCTCACCTTTTTACTCGAAGGTTTGTGCATTGTAATTCAGGAATCGCTGTATTGGAGACAGTTTGGGATTGGAGTGAGGAGAGATGTTGTGTCTATTCTTAGACATCTATCTTCTAAAGGATGGTCAAAATCTGAACTTCCATATCACTTGAGGAGGGCAAGCTTTTAATATATACCTTCTTTTTTTTTTTTTTTCCTTTCTTGATAGTTTTTCCTGAAATGTGAAATAATATGGAGTTGTTGAGGGATTTTTACTTAAAAGATGGTCTCTCCTCCAAGCT